GGGGAGACGGCTCCGGCAAATTTGATAAAGAGTTCCCGGACTGGCTGACTGCTACCTCGGAGTCGAGGAAGGTTCTGAGTGCTTCCAGTGACGCTGTCTGTCTGTCGCTCTGGCTGTCTGGCTGTCTGTCTTGGCGTCCAGACTCGCACCGTCTTAATCTAGGCATCAAGTATGAATGGGGCTGCCGTGCATTTTGCACGGGGCAGCAGTGAAATTGAGTCCGTTGAGCCGGTGCCCGAAAACCAGGGCACGAAAGCGGAAAGCCGGGCCAGGTTGGCGGCCTTGGCGGCCTTGGCGGTGACAGCGGAAGCGCCCGCGCGACCAAGGGTAGGCAAGCCCGCATGCCGCGTCCGTGGCGCGGGCTGCCTACCCTCTCCCCCGCAGGCGTTTCTTGTTCCCTGAAGCGCTTCAAGTTTGCCTTGCCTGTTCGCCTTTTTGTGTCCCTTTCGACGAACCTGCCGGCGGGCCGAGGCGGGCGGTACATCACCCAAGCGGGGGAAGCAGGCGCCTCACCGGCTGGAGTCTATGTCTTTCTTTATTGCGAACACGGGGCGAGGGCCGGGGCCAGCCTCGCCTCGCGGCCTTGGTGACAGAATGCTTCCGGCGCCTCGGCCACTCGGCCACCGACTCCACGCCCGTCTCTCTCGCACCTCTGGCGGACACCCCGTGAGTGCGGAAGGGACAGGGCGACGAAAACGACTCTCGGAATCAGCCTCCTGCCCGCCAAACTTGGCAATGTAACAAAAGCTAGTTAGCAGGCGTCCCCTGGCGGTGCCATGGCGGCGCGGCGCGGCGCGGCGGGGTGGCAATCGGGCTGCGTTAGGGTAGGCCGGCGGGCCGCGGAGGGCAGGGGAGGGGAGGGGGGGGAGGCGGTGAGAAGGCCGCCACTGGGCGCAGAGAAGGTCGCTTTCAACCCAAGTTGTTCGACCAGACGAACGAGCCACGGGCGAATGGATGGATGAATGAAGCATGGCCGACGACTGGCGCACAGTGGACCAGAAGACCGGCGGGGGCGGTCAAAATCCCGGACGTGTTTTGAGCTCCAGAGTCGCTAAATGGGACTCGAACCGAGCGTGTGAACCCACCAATGCATTGCTCTCCGAACGAGGAATCCATTGGTGGGGTCACACGCTCGGTTCCAGTCCTGTTTAGCGACGCTGGAACTCAAAACGCGTCTGGAGTTTTTGTCCGCCTGCACCGATCTTGTGGCAAATCCACTGTGCGGCGGCGGGGATTGGCTGGACGTGGACGTGCCGAGGACCGACGGGCCGACAGGGTTGTGAGTCAAGTCTGGGGCACGGCCGGGTTCCGCGGGGGGGCGGGGGTCAAGGACAAGCACTGCCGGGCGGGGCGGGGCGGGGCGAGGCGGGGCGGGCGCACCCTCATGTGCTACCCCGTGCGTACCCGGAGAAGGAGCGACCCCGAGCGACCTCCATATCTTTCGTCCACCCTCCGCACAGAAACCGGAGCGCACGGTATTTTGTCAAAAAAAAATGCCGTACTTTTCACAGAATTCCAGACTAGCGCTGACACACAAGTGCGCAAAACTTCCCACGATGCACCAGTGGCGAAAGGGTTGCCATCCTCATCCTCAACCCCTGAAAGCTGCTTCCCGAATCAAGTCCTTCCCCTTTTTCGGTGCAAGCGAACTCCTCCACAGGAGGGCTCAGACACTGCCTGGTATGCAGGCTGGGGTTGGCAACCTTTTTGACACCTGTGCATTGTGGGAATTTTTCGGCTACTTTATGTGGCCACACTGTTCCAGGAGTGAGCACCCCTCCTCTCCGCCGGCACGCGCTCCCTTCCCTTCCCCGAGGTTCGGGCTTCGGGCCTCGGTACTCGGTATGCACCCCCTGACCCGGCACGCCCTGCCGCCCTGCCGCCCTGCACTCGGCCTCGGCCACGCCGAAGCGAAGCGGCGAAGCGCCAAGCGCGGCAACATTTAAATTCCGTCTGAGTGGCTGCCTGGCTCGCGGGCGGCAAGTGGATGGCCCGGAATATGGAAGCGGGGAATGGAATAAGGGTGGCTGTCGCGCGCGCGCGCGCGCTCTCTCTCTCTCTCTCTCTCTCTCTCTCTCTCTCTCTTTTTTTTTTTCTCTCTCCGCTGCGGCAAGCCACATGAGTGCGACAGAGACGGGTTTTGCTGCCTACCGCGAGGGCGCGAGGATCCCCTTGCCGCTCGCTGCTCCTCGGGGTGACTGCCGCCGAGGCCGCCGAGGTCGCCGTCACAACAAGTGTGTTTTCTTTGGCGAGCTTTGTCTCGTAGCAACAGGCACGCCGCCAAGGGGCCGACGGGCCGGCGTGACGAAGCTGGAAAATCCTGGAAAAGTGAAAAGACGAGGCCGTGCTGAGCGTCAGACCGTCACATCGTCTGGCTGGCTCGGCCTTGGCGTCCAAACAGCCTCGCTGCGAGAGGGGTTGCATCCCTCCCTAACTCCCCCTCTCTGTACTCACTATTCAGCGGACAGGTGCTCTGTCGTGCCTTTATCAGCCCCGCCACCCTTTTTACCTGCGCTTCCGCATCAACAGATCAATTAGCCGACCCCGAGGGCGGCCAGGCGGGGCCAGGCGGGGCCAGGCGGGGCCAGGCGGGGCCAGGCGGGGCCAGGCGGGGCCAGGCGGGCCAGGCGGGGCCAGGCGGGCCAGGCGGGCCAGGCGGGGCCAGGCGGGGCCAGGCGGGGCCAGGCGGGGCAGGCGGGGCCAGGCGGGCCAGGCGGGGCCAGGCGGGGCCAGGCGGGGCCAGGCGGGCCAGGCGGGGCAGGCGGGGCCAGGCGGGCCAGGCGGGGCCAGGCGGGGCCAGGCGGGGCCAGGCGGGGCCAGGCGGGGCCAGGCGGGGCCAGGCGGGGCCAGGCGGGGCCAGGCGGGGCCAGGCGGGGCCAGGCCACCACCTGTTCGGCGGGGCGGCGCGGGCCGGGGCGGCGCTGGCGTCTGGCGTGGCCCGGGCGGCCAGGAAGTCATTTCCGAGGGTGTCAGCAGGGTGTTGGGCCCCGCGGCCGAGCCGGCGGGTCCCGTGCGCCGAGGTGCACCTGCACCGCAAGGAAGAGGGGAGTGAAGTAGGGGCAGACTGCCGCGGGATCGCGTTCGGCAATCTGGCTGTGTTGGCGCCCAGGCGCGTGGCGGCGTGGCGGCGCCAGCTCGAAGAGTGGCTCGTTATTGGCTGTGGCCACGCCGCGACGCCGCGACGCCTGGCCGTGCAGCCCCCCGACGCATCCTCGCTGCTCTACACGGCCCGCGCCCCGCCCCGCCCCGCCCCGCCGCGCCGCGCCACGCCCCGCCACGCCGCGCCGCGCCCCAGCGCCACCCCCGCCCCTGTCCCCCGGCTTGGGGCAGCCTACCCAGATCGATGCAGTACAGCACAGCCCTGCAGGCCCGGCAGGCCCGGCAGGCCCGGCAGGCCCTGCAGGGTGCGGCGGAACTACACCTAAAGGCCTGAAGGCGCCTGAAGGCCTGAAGGGAAGGCTGAGGGCTCCAAGGCGAGCCGGCCGCCCAACGCCGCCGAGGCCATGAAGCTCGCTTGGCAACTTGGCGGCCGCGCCTGCCTCGCGCCGCCTCCGTCTCACAGTGGGCCAGAGGACCGGTGGAGGCGGACAAAACTCTAGACGCGTTTTGAGCTCCAGAGTCGCTCAATGGGACTCGAACCGAACGTGTGACCCCACCAATGGATTCCTCGTTCGAAGAGCAATCCATTGGTGGGGTCACACGTTCGGTTCGAGTCCCATTTAGCGACTCGGGAGCTCCAACTGCGTCTAGAGTTTTGTCCGCCTCCACCGGTCTTCTGGCCCACTGTGCGTCTCTCTCGCACCCTTGCCTCACGCCTCGTGAGTGCGAGAGAGACGGAGCGCCGGGACGCCCCTTCGGAATGAGGCTGCTGGTGGGGTGGGGCGGGGCCGGGCCGGGCGGGGCTTGGTGTCCGAGTCTCTGCAAGTTAATGGTGGCAATCGCCGTGCTGTCCGTTGTCACTTTGAAGTCATTCGGCAGCGCGCGTCGAGGCGCTTGCTTGACGCGACACTGAAAGCAGTTGGTGCGTCCGCTCCGGTCCACTCGGCCAGGGTGACCTGGCCGGCTGCTTGCCCAGTCGACCCAGTCGCAGTGTATGGGTTGCTGTACGTTGTACGCTGTACCGAAGGCCGAGGGAAGGCCTGGGTGGGGGCCGGAGAGCAGTCCGGGGACAATGGGGCGCAGCGGGCGGCAGCGGGCCTGTCTCTCTCTCCCCCTCTGCCTCTTCCTCCTTCTGTCCTTGTTCTTCCTTTCCCCCGCGCCCCGCAGCCCCCACTGCCCCACCCCGCCCCACCCCAGATTAGCAGTTTCAGCAGCACTCAAGTGATCTCCCCGCGCATGTCCGGCCACCCTTGTCCCTCGAGATGCACATGCACACACACACACCTTACGGCCACGCACACACACACAGGGCTTCTATTCACGAAGAAGGGCACTCCCCCCCTTCCCCCGCCGCCCCCTCGAAATATGAATCAACCAGAAACCCCGCTCGGTCCAGACACTTTGAAGAAATCGAAAAACATGCGGCGAGATGACTCTTGCGCCAAGCGCCGTGACTGGTCATACTGCGAGTGGGAGCTTCGAGCTGCTTGAGGTTCGTCTCCGCCGGTATAACGCGTCACCCTAGTAAGGACGGCCGCGCCTCGTTTTGCAGTGCAGGCGAGCTTGTATCGGGCCGAAACGGCATACGATGATGTGTGGTCTAGCCCGTAGTGGTAATGGTAATGGTGGAGGTAGGCAACTAGCTACAGTTGCGTGCTCCAGCGTTCGACGGGCTTGCCTACCCTGCTCATCGCAGGCGCCCACTGACTTACCGTACGGTTAACAAACACTTCTTGAGCAATTTACTTAAATTTGGAACTCTTTATGTTTTTAAAGCGGTCATTGAATAATTTGGAACTCTCTATGTTTATAAAGCGGTCATTGAATTGAAAAAAAGGATTCAATTGACTGTTTGAAGGAACTGAACCGTCTTACTCAATTGGCGTCTTTGTGACTTACAGAAGTGAAACAGGAGCTGGAGGATCTGATGGCTGACATTAAGAAAACTGCCAACAAAGTCCGTGCCAAATTAAAGGGTAAGTAAATAGAATAGAATTATGGTAGGGAGATTGTAGGTCGTTGTTTTTGGACCTTGTTGACATGGTTTGAACCTTTGTTTACAGTGATAGAACAAAGCATTGAACAAGAGGAACACACCAACAAGTCTTCAGCAGATTTAAGGATACGCAAAACACAGCACTCCACTCTTTCGCGCAAATTTGTAGAAGTAATGACAGAGTACAATCGCACACAGACCGATTATCGAGAACGGTGTAAAGGAAGGATACAGCGACAACTTGAGATAAGTATGTTTATCAGAGCTCTTTATTCCTGGTCTCCATTTATCTTACTCTTTCTCAGTTTATAACTAAATTATTTGGATTTTAGCCGGTCGAACAACCACTAATGAAGAACTGGAAGAAATGCTGGAGCAGGGTAACTCTGCTGTGTTTACCCAGGGTGTAAGTTCCCTTCATAAACCCTGACTAAGGATTAATTCCGATGATAGATGTATCTTGACAACTCTTTTTGCTTTTTCTAGATTATCATGGAAACTCAGCAAGCCAAGCAGACTCTTGCTGATATCGAGGCTCGGCACGCCGACATCATCAAGCTGGAGAACTCAATCCGAGAACTCCACGACATGTTTATGGACATGGCCATGCTCGTTGAAAGCCAGGCAAGTATTCAATCTTATTTGCTCTTTTGTGCTCTTAATTAAGCCTAGCATTGCAGCTGGTTACTTTATTTACTTTTTTTATTTCCATGTTTCATTTTTAAGAGATTTGTATTTTTCAGCAGATATTTACTATTGTGAATTTTATGTAATGTGACTTAATCTCTCAGAATCTTTTGTATGGTAAATGATATTCAATGTGGCCGACCCTTACCTGTGCTCTATCTCTTTTATGGGTTTCTTTTGTTTCCTCCCTTGCTCCTTTAAACTATTTTCACTTTAAAAAAAATCCTGCTTGGATTTTCCTGTGACGGGTCTGGCATTGTATCGCTTTTAAACTTCACGGTGGTCTCCTTATCACTTAATTCCAACCTAATATTTTTATTGCACAAACTAACATCATTATGCTGCTTATTCAGTGGTGGTCAGTTAGGATTATAGCTTGAATGATCCGATGGATGACTAATTCTTGCTTCTTCGCTCTTTCTGATGCTGCGGATGTTTCCTCTCTCTGGTTGGCGGTGGCATTATCCTTGTAGGGTGAGATGATCGACCGCATTGAGTACCATGTGGAGCACGCAGTGGATTATGTGCAGACTGCGACTCAGGATACCAAGAAGGCACTCAAGTACCAGAGTAAAGCGCGACGGGTATGTGTTCAAAATCGTACTTCATTTTTAGATTTTACTAATTTTTTTTTGTTTTGTTTTCCTCCCCTTTTCCTTTCCTTACCTGTTCAAATCAATTCTCTAATGTTTGATCCAATCTTAACACGCTTTCCCCATTTTGGCTTCCTGGTTTCCTTGTTAATACTGTGTCCCCCCCCCCCTTTTTCATGTTTTAATCTTGCTTTCCTGTTCTTTTCACACCTGTCCTGTCTATGTTATCTAACATTGTTATGGCTGTGTGTGGTGTGCTCTGGTGATTGTCACTTCTTCTTGCTGGTGTGTGGCTCTGGCTCTATGTTTCTGTGTGGTTCCCTACGATGGCCACGCTTCGACTTGTCTGCGATGTGTCTGCTATCTCTCTTCTCTCCACTCACCTGGCCACCCTTCCGGCTCTCCGGTCCTCTCTCTGGTGTACCTGCTGGTCATTTGTGTGTTCATGCATGTGTGTTTCTGTGTATTACTCAACACTAACAACACAACCAACATTTGTTTCAATTCTGAACTCGCTTCTTGGTTGGGGGGCTTTTCAAATCACACAACTCTGTGTACCACCCCACCTTGTTACCCGTTTCCCATTACTCCCCCATCTTGCAACTTCCTTCTCCACTCCCAATACCTACTACAGGGTGAACTGGTTGACAGAGTAGAGTACCATGTTACTCAGTCACTGGATTACGTTGAACAAGCCCGTGGTCAACTTACAATTGCCCAAGATTATCAAAGCAAAGCCAGAAAGGTAAGTGTTCATGTCACACTTGAATACAGCTGACACTACAACTACAATGCAGAAAGACACATTTTAATGAAACAGAATAAGGGTAAGCAAAGGAATCCGAGTATACTTCAGAAAGGTCATTCCAGTTAACATCATTTGAGATCAGTCATCTACAGCTCGCGTGGCTAATAGGTTTTCCAGTTTAATATATAAAATTCATTTAGTATAAAAACACCCCATGCCTAGCTTGCATGGTGCCTGAAATGCATGGTATTTTAATAGCTCTGCATGGCTTCACATGTGTGTTTGTTCTTTTGTTGTTGATGTTTTTTTTTGAATTTTGAAAAGTAGTATGTGACGTCTATTGAATAGCTTGTTCTCCAAAGTATGGAGGATAGTCTTCTTTGAAAGCTACCGTAAGTTAATGTAATTTCATGTTTTTATAAGACGCTTTTAAAATTTTGATATCAATAATACAATCACATTTTTTACTCACAAAACAGCAGTAATTTTGCACTTTTTTCTGATACATACATACCCAAAAGTTTATTCACTTAACCGTTGTCACTTTCGTGTATTTGAAAGCAGTAAATGGGTTTTGTTTTTTCTTTTCCCCTGCAATATTGCATGTGATGTGCACTGTAGTGACAGTAGTTCTCTTTCGTTCTGTTCACAGAAAAAAATCTTCATCATTGTCTGCCTCGTTGTGTCTATTATAATTACAATTATTGTATTAGCAGTAGTGCTGTAAGATCCACAGTTGAGGTTTTATTGCTCTTAAGCAGAAGCAGCAGTGCAGTAAAAAAGGGGACAGGGGACTTACAGCTGTTAAAAATTAGATAAATTATGAACCTCTTGTTAAAGAAAGTTCACTATAAGCCAGTAACTTTGTGTCCTTTATCACAATGTCTATCCATGTTTGTTTTCCTTGAGGCAACTGGAATTAATGATTTCGTCTTAACATTATTGACCTCAAGCATTTGCCTCTCACACCCCTTTCCCCTCTTCTACTTATAGTTTTAAGCATAGCTGATGTTACCTATTCAAAAGCTTTTATTGAAATATGTTGTTTTTTTTTAAAAAAAAAACATTTGAAAGATGGAAGAACTTGTGCTCTAAATGCTGTAGATTACATTTGTTTATTTCCTTGTAGGAGTTGGAAGAGTTAAATCATGAATAAATATTTTAATCTATGTTTTTGTTTGTTTTAAACTTGTTAATTTTTGCTGCCCTTGGTGGTTACTGCATATGGTCATGGTCACTACTATCAAGAGAATGAAACTTAAGAACTCTTTTGACTTTAGTCTTTTGCCTGTCTTTTGTTTCGGTCCAAGTTGCTCTTTATTCCTTTGAATCAAGTTTTTCTCATCTTGCATTCATGTACTCTTCATTATTTTATTGTTTCCTCCTCTAAGGCTAGTGTTCTTTCTTATGATTGTGAGAGAGAAGCAACAATGCATCAGCAGAACAAGTAATCAGTTGATCACATACCTTTTCCGAAAATAGGGCTTTTCTGTTTGATATAACTGCAATTCAAGATATGAATCATGTTAAAATATGTTTTGAAAACAATGAAAAAGAATATGGAAATATAACCAAACAATAGTATGAACAATGTAAAGTCAAGGCCTCAATATGATATGTGGAATGTCTTAGTTTTAAATTGCTTTTGGCAAACGAGCTATCTGATCCAATTCCTTTTGGAACCGTGCTTTGGGTAGTCTGTGCAGAAGTCATCAACCAGCTTTGTTGTTTCTTCTCTATAGTAGATATTTGTTTGCTTTTGATTATGTGTAACCTTGTCTGAAGTGCAATTAATTTCTTTTTAAGCATACAAATTGTATGAGTGTTGTAAGTTCATATTTTATTATTTATTAGTACACTTGTGTAATGAAAGTGAACCTTGATGTGTTGTAGTTTTTGATATTTCAAGGAAGGAAAGCATCATGCATTCCAACGTATGCTTCTATTTTTTCATACTCTAAGAATGTTTGAGAAGGTATATTCACAAAAGCTACAATATTGTCTAAAATGTGGATCAAAGTACGATTAAGCATCACTAAGAACATGCAGTAATACTCCTAGTGTATATCTGTAGTGCACTGCTGCTTCAATTACTTTGAATAATTATGGATAGAAAGGGTGTGTGAACAATGCACTAAATGACAATATTGTTTGAATCAAAACATATCCTGATCTTAATAGTCTCCTCTTGTGTGGCTGATGTAGCAATTTTAATTAAAGTTTAGGGTTTGAAATAAATTAAGAAAATATTAAAGAATTGTGGTTGACTGTGTGCATTTGGGTCAAAGTACTTTGTCCTCCTTATATTTTGTTTTAATTTTGCGGTTATATAATGTGATGAGGGCATAGACTCATACACTGAGGATGTATCTGTTCGCACACCCCTTACATAGCTGAATCAACCTTCCATGCTCGTTTATTTAAGTGGCGCTGTCATGACTATGCTGGCTGCCCATACGCCATACATCCCCAGTAGCGCAAGTGCACCTCCTGCCCTGCATTTTGAGTGCCCTTGAGTACGCAGTTCGCTTTCACCAGCCATCCAGGACTCGTCACTTCAGCCATATGTGCAACTGTGATCAACCCTACACTGCCTGGTAAGAGTCTTTGAAAATGTCGGTGTCTGCAGTATTTCCCCTTGTTCTCAATGCGCTCCAATGCCTCTTCAAGTTCTTCATCCATTTAATTCTATCGTTCAATATATATGTCTATGATTTGTTGCTTTTTTATTGCTTTGGCCTTTTTAAGTTCTAAACCATTTACATCTCAATACTTTTTGCTTTCTGTAAATGATTATGCTACAAACCCAAGCTATCTTGCTTTCAATGATAAGCCTTGAAAGTAGTGATTTAGTCATGGATGTAAAAGATCTGTACAGGTAGTGCTTTTCTGCCTTCAGAATGTTCTTTCTCTTTTATCTTTATCTTTAATTCTAGCTGTACTATTGACGGGTAATTTCTAAATGTTTTATTTGAAGAACATGCTGATTGTGGCCATTCTGATCACTGAAACTTTGGGAAAGGTTCTTTCTCATGCTTAAACTATCTTATGAAAAATTAAGATTCCGAATTACAAATAGAACTGTTCCTTAGTATTGCTATGCATCTATCACCGTATAGTCTTGATCTCCGATAGAGATTTTCTTTTTTAATATGTCTCTTCTTCAGGCATGCAGTCACGTGACTAACTTGTATTTTAGTCTTGTGTACAGCCTCTTGACATGGTGCCTGAATGTGATATTAGGCAGTAGACTGAAACTGTTAGCACTGCTCTCCGCCTTAGGTAGAATCTCATCTTTTGATCACAGTCAGTGGGTACCTAAGAGCAGAGCAATTATAGGATGCTATGAAAGAAGTAAGTATAAATAGCCTGCAGTGTCATCTTCCATAAAACGATTTGAAATGACCAATGTCAACCGACCTAATTTGATGTGTAATATCATTTATTTGTTGTCAATTTTCATTTAAAATGATTGTAAAGCTCCTCACTAGAATTCTTCTTAAATGTTGTAGTGCCCTAAACCTCTCTAATAAACAACAACAACACTGAGTTAAAATCCAAATAAATATATGGGTCTGATAAGTTGGTTCCTTTTAGCGGAGCAAGACTTTGCTGTTGTAGTACAACGAAATAAATCCTTTACTTTTAATATGAAATAATTGAGTTAATAAATAAATGTCTTTTTCTGTGAATAAATTGTTTAAGTAAGTATCATTGTGTTAACTCTTATTGCAAATTCATTACTTGTGGATTTCATAATCCCTACTACTTCAAAGGTGTTACTCTTGAAACTATTTCATCTTTTGCCAATATAATGTCTTCTTATTTCATTAAAATCTATACCTATACCTCTCATCCTGTTAGTTGATGAGTGTCTTTGCCTATGTATGAAAGTTTCTGTGTGTTTGTCATTGATATGTCTGTGAGTAACTCTTATTGTCTTGAGTGTACAAGGAAGTGAGTGAGAGAGAGGGAGAGCATGAGAGAGAGTATAAGCATGAATTTGCCAACTCTAACAGCATCTGTATATATTAAGTGAGTTGGTTTTATACAATACCTTTTATTGTTTTTATACAAAATGCAGAAACTGATCTAACTTTGTAACATCTATTTCCGGCCAAACACCGCTGTTATGTATTTGTTCTGTTGTCATGCATGTATTTTGTTTTCCATTTATTGTAAATCCATGTAGAAATACATTTAATTTGCTTCCATAGCTTGTTTTTTATTTTATTGTTTTTAGTCACCTTTTATTTTGGTTGTTTTTCTACTATTAGTATTTTTTACACTGTTTTTTTTTGCATATGCTTGATAGTTTTTTTTGTTTTTTTAAACAAAGTAACTTGAGTATGGTTAGGTAATTTCCCCACATTTGACCATAACAAAAGGTGACAATCCTGGTGCCAGAAGTGGAAATTCCCCAGAGTTAAGGACTTTAACGTTAAACCCCACTCAACAGCAGCTGCCAATGTGACCACACACCAGCAACTATGGAGGTAAAAAGAAGAAAGTGGCAATTATGCAGGACAATTTTAAATTTACGCTTTCCCCCAAAGGTTTTGTGAAGACACTCCACTGTGATGTTCTGTTGTTAATGCTTTGTTTCTCTGTCTCTGCAGAAGAAGATCATGATCCTGATCTGTGTCTCTATCCTCATCATCATTCTGTGCTCCTTTGTCGCTTCATATATTCCCTTTTAAGCCTTTCTCTTTGTAAGTTGAGTTTGCTTTACTTGACTGGTATGGTATAGTTAATATTTTGCTCTACATTAACATGTTCTTTGGTACTTTTTGACAGGTCTGGGATGCATGGATACTGCTTGCCCTGTATTACACCTCTACGCCTTCGGCCTTCACAGCCACACACACCATGGTCCATGATGATTGCCTGCCATGGTGAGGCCTTGCTCCGCCTCCGCCGTGCTGTGCTACCGTGCTGTACCCTGTTCTGCACGGATCTGCTAGCAAATGTGCCATTCTCATCACTGTTCCTTGTGGACTGTGACATCTCTACTTCAACCCTTTTTTTGTTTTTGTTTTTCAAATTTGTCTGCCCTTTTGATGTGTTAATAATTAAGTGTTTTCACAAACCGAAAACGTTTATGTAGGATGCATTTTAATTATTAATATTTGTCCTAGTTTCCTGATATCTCGATTTGTATTTTGAAGACTATTTCCTTGTTAAACTTGTTCTTACCATGTTATGAGTGAGAGTAGATAAGTAGGCATATGTAGAGGAACCTCTCAAAGACTTAGGATTGTATGCAAGCTCGCAGCTCACTGCTGAAATGCGCCCAGGCTCTATGCCATCTATCGCCATATTCCATACATCTTTTTATACATCTCAATTCGCACCCCCTTAGCTCTTATGTTTTTTTATGTGTAAATTTCTTGTGAAAGCGAGCTAAGAAACCATGACACTTCCTCTGTGAAATAGGCCAGCTGCCAGGCAGTCTTTACCTCTCTGTTTGAAGTGCACAGAGCTTCAGTCTCGAGCTTTACTGATCTGTGGATGTTATTTCTCATTCAGGGTGCTCCTCTTTTTGTTGGAGACTGTGTAGAAATAATCTATTTTGCAGAGATAAACACGGGCTTTCTCTCATGGCAATCCAGTGGGAATTGCCGAATTTTTAAAATTTGAGTTTTTAGTGTTCTGAAGAAAATTGCAGAGGGTATCAATAAATTGTTTTTGGTCTTCTCTTGTACCTAGAGGCCAATCTATTTGTGCCTGACAGGACAGATTGTAGTCAAGCCACAAAACTTTATTCTTTTTTCATGATAAGGATTTGTTTACCCACTGCTTTCTAGTATTTCTGGGCTCAAATTGAGCGGGCCATAGATAATTTAAATTGATTCCTCATTGATACCTTCAACCCTGATGTAAATGTACATTCCTCTGTACAGAAATGTACATAATTTTCAATCAACGCCTTAGGTATTTTATATAGATTCAAAAGCGCTAGTGATGGTGATGGTGTGAATGTTTGCGCGGCTGTATGAATGTATATGTTGGGAGGTTAATGTTTGTGTGTGGGTCTTGATGACGTGAAGGGAAACTACCTAGCTGTGTGTATGTGTCTTCAGGTTCGATTGCACAGTGTGTGCACTGTATGAGGCACAAGAGGGGATGGAAAAGGAAAAGGTTCATATGGGTGGTCCCTGATTATGCTCAGTCACTTTTGTTGAGAAAAGCACAAACCGTAGCTAGGCCAAGACTTAAATCCTTCACGCAAGTAGATTGCGACTGAGGTCGGGTGATTTCACTTTAGAAGTACGAGTCTTTGAAATTTTCTCTCTTTTAAGAAAGCATTCAATTTAAGCTGAGAGGCATGGGGTTTATAGGACATTTTGGTCCCTTTACTTTTGTTATAATTAATCTAGTTGTAGCTGGTTGTAGCCGGCCTATGGCACCTGACTCAAGTTAGGTATGCGGGTGAGCCTTGTTAGGTTGCCAGGTAGTATTTTTCGGGTCTTGCTTAAAAGTTTTTCTTTTTCTTTTAATTTCATTTTTGTGTCTGAAATTCAAAGCAGAGCTTTTGTCAAAACAAATATTTTTAAATTGCTGTTTTTGAGGAAAAAAAAATTGGTGGGCAATTTTATAAAATTGTCATTTTTCTGTGCTTTTCAAAAGTTATTTCCACTGAAGTTTCAAAAACTTTGATGTCAGCAAAATGGTCATGAATTGTGTGATTAATATTAGCAATAGAAATCGTGCTCCACTGCCCCGGCGAACACCGAATACACTTAATAGGAATCAAAATTTCAATTATGAAAGTATTTCTTAAATTGTATAAATTTTGTGTATCTGTTAGGGAGCATCAGATCTGGTGAAAGGTTTGCTGTAGCAATAACTGCAGTGTAAGCTCGAGCGTGTCACAGCAACCAATTTGACATGGGGGTCATGGTGGACAAAAAAATGGTCATAGTGTGATACTTTATGAATTATACATATATGAATACTTGCATACAACCTGTACATAATTGAAGTAGGCATTGTAATATAACAATTTATTCATTTTTCTCACTCTTATCTGTATGATTGCGGGTGAATTGCATGTTACTATTTTAATAATAATTCTGTTTCATTATTTTCATCACTGATTTTTAAAAGAATTTTTTGTCACAAAAAATACCTTACCAAAAACTGACAATTGTTCCTTGTATTCAAGGTGCTGATGCGACTGTTACAATATCTGGAGTTTAGTCACCTATCCAGACAATAATTGCCACCATCATGGAACTTTCTCAAGTTCACTGATTATAATTTTTTAAAAGCTATTTTTATTTCTTGTCACAGTGAAATTTTGTGTATTAACATGAAAATTTATATGTTATTAGGTTTTTTATTGGTTTGGTGCTCTCTGTGGACTGAGAATGCCTTATTGTCCATCAGTGTTCATGGTAAAGATCTCGTACTTGTAGATGAGGTTTTCAAACTTATTCTTTGTTGCGATGGCCTAAGTTCGGTCTATCTTGCTTGTAGGGCTGTACTGCGCCCCAATCATAGGCACTTGACAAAGATTTTCAGAAGAACCTTAGTGCCTGAGAGACTTTTTGAACCTTGTCATTCAGTCTCTGAAGCTCATAGAATTGTCAATGCAGGTTCAAATTTGCTTCTCTCTTTAATCATTTTCTCATTTTCTTTGGACTAAAGTTCTTTTGGAAATTATTATTTCTACACATTCATAATCAGTTTTGAAGAGCCATTAACTGCCTGTTAACTGAGGTGGCTTCCTAATCTAAGCTTTTGTTCATTGATCATTTTAAAATAGTTCAGCAACAAACTTTCCATTATTTTGCACCTAGTCTTTTTCCAAGTCATGTGTATGTATGTATGTAAATAGAAGACTGTGGTATTGTTGATGGATTTCAATGAAACTATAGCCTTTAGAACACTCAATTATGGCTTGGTTTTTATTTCTTTGCAACAATGAATGTATAGAGATTTTTATATGGCAAGATAATTTTGTCATCCACGAAATGCTTTTGTGAATGCCATCATCCATAAGAGTCGTTCAGTTGCAACAATTGTTGTTATATTGTTATGGAGTTTATCAATGAAAATCTTGTTACGCTTGTGATGCTTCTTTAAGAAGGGTCCTTTTCTGTTTCATGTTCATGTATATGATCAGGCTCATAATGTTAGAGCTTTAAAAGCTTACATTTATCATGAAACTAACATGAAATGGCAAATTTTGGTCACCTCTTTGTATGTCCCTCTGTCCTGCTTTTGATATGGACAATGCTTTTGTTTCATGCTGACTTCACTGGCTTGCTTTATCATGTGAGCAAGGTTCACACCCAGCACTAATATATAATATCCTCCCTGGAGTTTTGTTGACTTGGGTAGGGGGTCTTTACCTGATTGAGCCAGGACATCTTGGCTTAAATTAATGTGAATTGCTTGGAGCTTAAGGAAAGAGCCAAAATCGTGTTCAAACTTTTGGGTCAAGTGTGCCCTGTTTTTATTATCAAAATCATAACTTAACAAAATCGTGTATAAAGATTTTTTTTCCTTTTGTAAGGAGCACTTAAACTGCTGCTTTTAATGAGTAATTACACATCCTTCTTGTACTGTGTTTAGTATCAAAGATTTTTGTGCTTTTTGCAAGGAAGACATTAGTGCTAGAAAAAGTGACATTGTCAGAATTTCACCTTTATTCTTCTAATAATGTATTTTAAACTGTGACTAATAATTGTTTGTTGCTCGTTGTGAAAGGGCAGGTTGGGTAGTGGCTTCTACCAACGCAAATGTATTTCCCCTCCCCCAATTCTGTGCTTGTGCTCGGGTGTGCATGGCTTGTTTCAGGCATGGCTTGGGATTCTGTGTCATTGGTACCCATTATTAATACTAAATAGTTAGTTCTGATGGAACAAATTAGTGCCTGAAAGTATTGTGAAGAAACACTCCTTGGTTGGTTTCCATCTTTCTTCAACTTGTACAAGTTGAACAAACAAAAATCTCTGTTGATTTGTAGCACACCCACTTGTGTGGTCTGGATAAGAATGGTGATTTATATTTTTTATTTTGGAAAGCACCCAGTTTGACACATATCCCTGTCTTAATAAGAAGCGCTGTGTAAAAAGTAGGTGCATGGTGTATTGGTCAATCTTCAGCAAAATAGTCTGATAGTAGTTTTATGGTCAAGGCAACATAGCATTTTATGTATTAGGTAATTTAAAGCAATGTTTGAAATTCTTGTAGACACCATGTGCCTATTTGAACCACTGTTCTTCCTGCCCTCTCGCTTCTATTATCTCTTCATGTTTCAGGTGACGTGACTAGTTATAGTTGAACAATGTCTCGTAAGTGTCAATTTCCAATAATTATTGTTACGGTAATTTAAATTTCATCCATATGTGCATCATGAATAAGATTTTATTAAGATGCAGAAATATACAAATGTAACGGATATATTATACATGAGTAAAAACTAAGTGAGATTCTAAGATATAATTTCAGAGGTTCTTTCAGTTTTGTCATAGAAGAGTAGCAAGAGGATATAGTACTGTGAGCAAATGATGCGTTTCTTCTTATACTTTGAATGTATTCACTTTACAAAAGGCAATACTATCTCCCATGGTCATCGCACTGTGTTCTCTGTTCAATTCTCTTTTGGTCGTCCTCAACCCAACTTGTTTCATTTGTGGTGATTGTGGGATCTAAAATTGTGATGACTTCAATGTGTCCTTTTAATTGTTAATTAATAAAAGAGCACAAATAAGTCTTGTGTGATTACTCTAAATTTCTGCGATTTCTACTTTTATCCCCAAGCCTTACTCTCACAGCACCACAAAGAAGTTCCAAGCTTTGTGAAGTGGATGGTCAAGGCTGCAGGTCCAGCCGCGTGGCCCTCCGTCCTACAGCCGGCAGCCGTTTTCGTCGCTCTGTCTCTCTTATCTGGAGGAGACACCCCTTGAGTGCGGGAGAGACAGCGGAGAAAACGGCTCTCGGAGTCAGTCTGCTGCAGGGCGGCTTGCAGGGCGGCTTGCCATGCGTCGGCGAGCCCTTCAAGCCCTTCGCCAAGGGCGCCAAGGGCGCAAGGGCCAACGCGGCCAGGGCGATGCCGGCAATGGGCAGGAAGGGGGACGGGGACGGGCGGCACCCGAAAGAGAATATAAAATTTATAAGAGTGCGGCAGGGAAGAATGGCAGAGAAAATAAAAGTTGAAAACGCAGAGCGGACTACGCGGAGGGTGCTTGGTTATTTAATGAAGGGCGAAAACGTGGAACGGAGCGCGGAGCCAGGGCAGCTCGATACGGCCAAGGAGGCTTGAGGGAAGGCTAGCGGGGACGCTGGGGGCGGGGGCTGCAAGGGCTGCAGAGCTCGAGGGCTGCGGGGTGACAAGTTGATAGTAGTTTGACGATGTGCAAGCCGGCTAGTAGCCCCGGCGCGGCGGCGCGGCCCGCCTAGAGTCACCCCCTCCCCCTCCTTCGCGCGGCCGCCCACCGCGCCGAAGAGGATCAAGGGGGGCTTCGCGCTTCGCGAGGATGACGACTTTGGCCTCGGAAAAGGAAGAGGGGGGAGGGGGCTTCTCGTTTTATCGAGGCGGAAACGAGCCATTCAGGCCATCCGGCGCCGCAAAATAAAGCGAAAATTTTGCGCTGTTAGCGCCACTTTAGGCTATACAGCGGTGCCGAGAGGGGGTGGGGGTCGCTTCCGTCCTTGGAGTGAGTGGAGTCGGTACTGCGGGGCGGCGGGGGCGGCGGTGGCGTCGCGCACCCTACGTGGGTAGGCAAGCCAGGCAAGCCAGGCAGCCGGGCGGGCAAGTCCTCGAGGCCAGGGCTGTGTTGTGGCTTGCGGTGCCAGGAGGTGGCTGTTGCTGCGGCGGCGGGGACCGCGCGCGGAGGGGAGCGGAGGGGAGGGGGCTGAGAGCCTGGTGAGAATCCTTAATTGCAGTAAAGTACGGCCTCTGTTTATTGCGGTTGAGCACTCCGTCGGGCGGGCGGTGAAGGGGAGGGGAGGGGGGGCCTCCACCCGCTTTGCATGGCAGCCGGCGCCGCCGCGACGAGCTTTTCGCGCTTTTTCTTTTCGAAAGTTGTTTATTTCTATTTCCGCGTCCCCGCGAACTCGCTGAGCTCGCTGCGCCGCGCTTTGCAGCGGAGTGACGCGGAGCTCGAGGGATGGGGAAAATAAAAACAAAATAAAAATATCCGGCAAAAAGTTTGGCCGAAGCCGAAAGCTCTCTTCCTTTCCTTTCGCCCTTTTCGCATCGCGCAGCGCCGCTCAGCATTTGGAACATTTAGAACATCTGGAGCGAAAACGAAAACACGGAAACGCGTCGGGGGAGCGGCGGAGTCTTCGGTCTGAGGGCGCGAGTTGGAGGCGGAGTCATCTGTCGAGAAGTTGGCTCAAGTGGCAGAACACGAACCGGCGGGCTGATTCGTTGCGGGAGGTCCGGGACGCCCCATGAGTGCGAGAGAGACACAAGGGCCTTTCCATTCCGCTCGGAGCCAGTCCGTCCAGTCCGCAGCAAGCGCCTGCCGCAGCCCTACGGGGCACCGGAACCGGTTGTGCTCGTAGGCGCTGTTCCGGGGTGGAGGCCTGCATACCCCCCTCGGGGGGGATGTACTCCTTCACCCTGACTGGCCATACTGCGAGTGGGAGTCGTAGCCGCTTGAGGTTCTTCTCCGCCGGGAAAAAGTGTCACCTTAGTAAGGACGGCCATGTCTCGTTTTGCAGTGCAGGCGGGCATGTGTCGGGCCCGAAATGGCATACGATCATGTGTGGTCTAGCCCTTAATGGTAATGGTAATGCCGCAGCCCTACAGTGTGCCCGCGGCCCGCCACACCGGCGCGCACCACGGGTTGCCTATCCCTCGCTACGCAGGCGCTCCCCGTCTTCGTGTCCGTGTCTTGGTTCCCTTGGTGCGCGGCTCGGCCGCCGCTGCGTTTCGTGCCGCCGCCGCTAGAGGCCGCCAGAGGCTGCCTGGAGCGCCACGACTGCACCATGACTGCGCTGCACGCCGCCGCGGCCGCGCCACCGCGCTGCGCTGCCAGTGCCTCAGGCCTCGTAAACAAGTGCACCGCAGTGCACCGCAGTGGAGCCACCCACTCACGCCTCGCTGCCCTGCCCGCACCGCACACCACACACCGCGCGCACACACTGCCTACCCGCTGGCCGCACACAAGCACACGGCAGCCGGTCGCTCATGCATGTCCTGTTGTCCCGAATCAATCAAACCGAGCGTCCGCTAACCAAACCGGGCGGAGGCCGGCCGCTCTGTCTCTCTCGCACTCATGGGGCGTGCAGTTGGGGGTGCGAGGGAGACAGAGCACCGCCGCCGTTCGGCGGAATGAGCCTGAGCCGCCAGGCGCCAGGCCGCACAGTGGACCAGAAGGACCGATGAAGGCGGACAAAACTATAGACGCGTTTCGAGCTCCAGAGCCGCGGCTAAATGGGGCTCGAACTGAACGTGTGACCCCACCAATGAACTGCTCTCCGAACGAGGAATCCATTGGTGGGGTCACACGATCGTTTCGAGTCCTGTTTAGCGACTCTGGAGCTCAAAACGCGTCTAGAGTTTTGGCCGCCTCCACCGGTCTTCTGGCCCACAGGCCGCCCCTGCTGTGGCTTGTTTTAAATTATTCACGGCTTGCCTTGATCCGCTCCCCCGGGAGGACGGGGAGGGGCCCTCCGGAGGGGAGGCTGCCAGGGCGTCGCGCGGGGGCACGGAGCACCGCGTGGAGCACCGCGTGGAGCACGGCGTGGAGCCTCGGCGGTGAGGCGGCAAGGCGGCAGGGCGTTATACTCGCTCCTTCTTTCCGAGGCCCCGGGCGGGGCGGGGCGGGGCGGGGCGGGGCGGGGCGGGGGGAGCGTGCGCTCGAACACCCAGTTTGGCGGCCTCCCCCCCCCCTCCTCCTCGCCTTAATAACTTACTTGTAATGACAGGCCGGGCGGCAGACCCGCGGGCGCCAACAACTCCCTCCCCTCTCCTCCCCCTTTCCCTTTCGCCCCGCAGCCCACACAGCAGACGATATCTTCTTGTGATGTGGGTGCCCCTAGGGGTCCCCCACGGGGTCCCCGGCCCCACGCCGCGCCTCCCCGCCGCCTGCAGCACGAGCAAGCAGAGCAAGCCGTGTCGTGTCATCGGGCCGGCCGGGCCCATGGCCGGGGCCATGGCCGGGCCGCGGCGGACTGTCTCGGACTCGCCGCCGCCAGGCACGCCCGGCACGCCATGGAGGCCCTTCTGACGTCCCAACGCTCCGACCCGGGCCGGGACTCCCGACTCCACTCTGACATCATTTTGATGTGGGCAGCCGCTTTGCAGGCGCTCGCTCTGTCTCTCTCGGACCCCCGCCGCACGCCCCACGAGTGCGAGAGAGACAGCGACGAGAGTAATCGCGCTGCGGGTCCTAAACGGCAATGCCGGCACGATGATAGGTGTCTGGCGGCGCGGCTGAGTGATTCCGAAGGCTCGTCGCTCTGTCTCTCTCGCACCCCACGGACTCTACGGGATGCCCCATGAGTGCGAGAGAGACAGAGCGACGGCATGATCCTCGGCTGGCCCATGGCTGGCCACGCCGATGATGTATGCACGGTGCTGGCGCTGCTAGCGTGACGGCTGACACCTCCATTCCCCGGGCCTCCGGCTCGGCCTCCGGCTCGGCCTCCGGCAACCGGCACGGCCATGGCTCCTCCGCTCATGGCTCCGCTATCGCCGTCTCGTCTCGACCATCTCGACACGCGTCGAGCTGCCCCGCGACAAGCAGGCCCTGCAGACCTGCAGATCGATTCCGAGAGTCGTTCTCGTCGCGCTGTCTCTCTCGCACTCATGGGGCTTCCCGTATGGGTGCGCGAGAGACAGAGTGACGAAAACGACTCTCGGAATCGGTCTGCAGGGCATGCTCGCCGAGACATCACTGCCATATTTGAAACCTGCACACTGGTTGCTGCGCCTTGTACCGCTTCTACTATTCACATTTTCTTCGCGTCGCTTTCCCTTTTCTTCGCGTTTCTTTCGCGTCGCTTCGTGGCAAATCACTTATATTGTATTGGCATGCCATCCTCCTCTTGTTTTCCTTCTTGTTTCCTCGTACTTTATTTCCACCATTGTCCCTCTTGCGTTCTTTGTTCCTGCTGCGTCTCGGCCGTGTTCCCCGTTCCCTGTAACAAAAGAACAAAACGCGGAGAGAGGACGGCAGCGCGGCGGGGCGGCGTGGCGGCGGGGCGCGGACAACACACGGACACGACAGGACAGGACAACGCGAACAGGCATAACGCAGACAAGCGAGGAGTTCAATTTCACAGTGCAGCCCCGCCGCTGCCCCGCCGCTGCCCCGCCGCTGCCCCGCCGCTGCCCCGCCGCTGCCCCCCGCCGCTGCCCCGCCGCTGCCCCGCCGCTGCCCCGCCGCTGCCCCGCCTGCGCCGCTGCCCCGCCGCTGCCCCGCCGCTGCCCCGCCGCTGCCCCGCCGCTGCCCCGCCGCTGCCCCGCCGCTGCCCCGCCGCTGCCCCGCCGCCCCCGCTGCCCCGCCGCTGCCCCGCCGCTGCCCCGCCGCTGCCCCGCCGCTGCCCCGCCGCTGCCCCGCCGCTGCAGGTCGATTCCGAGTAGCGCTGTCTCCGTCGCACTCACGGGGAGTGGCGCGTGCGAGAGAGACAGCGCGACGAACCGCGGCGCGGACGCGGCCCGCTGCACTGCCGTTTCGAGTTTAGTGCCCCGTGACTCCGTGACGGCTAGGCGGCGTTGAATCGATTGCCGCGTGTCAAAACACACACGTGTCCGCCGT